AGAAAGGATTTATATGAAATCTCATATATCTTTTTTAAGAGATATTTTTGCCACAGGGCATGTGCACTCGCCAGAGACACAGAAAGCAAGAAATCACCATCCCCCGAGGGGGGACATAGCCACACCACAGTCCGTTCTCCTCCATTTTCCTCTCGGGATTTTGGGCACACACGCACAGGAGCCCAGTGTGAGTTTAGGCCACCAAGTTTGGATCTCAAACCACAGTCGACTAGGTGGGAGTCCAGCGATACAACCCTTATGCCATCGGCTGGTCCCAAGCCAGCATTCTTAATTCGTAACCACTGACAGAGGTGAGGTGGGTAAGGTGCAGGGCATGATTCTGCTTACACAGCATTTTAAAAAATGGAATTACAATGTACAAGATTTCCCAGGACAAGCAGATGGTGTAAAGGTTATGTCACTGGACTCCCACACATAGCAAAAATCTCTCAAAGAAAAAGGAAGGAAAAAAAAAAACACTGCTGGCTTTACAATCAGGTAGACCTGAATCAGATTTCCGATCAGAGCCTTCACAAAGCAGTGATACCCTAGACGTAAAGAATTCCTACAAAGCGATGAAAAGATACCTAACAGACAAACAGTCAAAGGATATGATACGAGGCAATATATAACGAAACAGCAACAGGCCAGCACGTGGTGTGGAGGCTAAGATGCTGGATTTCACATGGCCAACTGCGTGGTTGGAGTCTTAAAAATCACGCCAGGCATGTGTGCATGCACGCCTACACTCCTGAGAGGAGACTGGAGAAGAGATTGTAATGTGGTTATTATCCTCCCAGGGGGTGAGTTCTCACTTTCCCTTTGCACTCTCTCTGGTGAGCACCTGTGTCCTGTAGCAGAACTAATCAAAATCAAATATTAAGAATAAATCCATAAAATAGCTGAAAAAAAAGTGTTGGTGAAGGCATAAAAGAAGGCAAACACACGGAAAGGAATTCACGTTTGTATTGGTTAGCTATTGCCACAACAATGCTGCATAAGAAACTATCCCAAAACTCAGCAGCACGAAACAATATTCTTTTATTTCTCACTGCAGCATCTGCCAGTTGGCTGGGGTTTGGCTGATGTAAGTGGGACTCAGCTGAATTTGGCAAGACGAACTCACATATGCTTCATGTGTTTCTCATCTTCCCTGGATCAACAGCTATATGAGGCAGGTTCTTCTCACAGTGGAAGGCAGGAGCATGAAAAGCAGCCAGGCCGCCCATGGTAAACTTGTGCTTAGATCATGTCCACTAGCATCCCTTGGGCCAAAGTCAGTCCCAATCGAGCCCCCAGAAAAGGACAAGAAAGGCATTCCTCTGATGGAAATGAGTGGAATGGAGAGGGTGACATTTGCTAGACAATGATTTAACACTTGGTTTGGAAGATTCTTCATACAATATCAAAGCAGGTGGTGTCGAGGTTAAGGCAGCTGGATCCCACATGGCTGACTGCGTGATTCAAGTCTCAGACCTGGCAGCTTGAAAACCACACTGGTGCATGTCCAAAAATCCCAAGAGGAGAATAGAGAAGGGACCGCCATGTGGCCATCCACTCTGGGAAGTGATTTCTCACATCTCCTCTGTCTCTGGAGAACACAAACGCCCTATGGCAAAAACTAAGGAAAATAAATCCTAATGCAAAACACTCACTTGAGACCAGCAGATGGCGTAATGGTTACATCGCTGGTCTCCCGTGTACTGGACCACAGTTGGAGTCCCAGACCTGGTGGCTTAAACCTCATACAGTGAACATGTGCGTGCATGCCCAAATCCTGAGAGACTACAGATGAGGGGAATGTGAAGTGGCCATCCTCTGGGGGACGATTTTTTTTGCTGTCTCTCTCTCTCTCTCTCCAATGAGTTAACCTGCCCTACAGCAAAAAAATCTCTTTAAAAAAAAAAAAAAAGACTCACTTGTTTGTTCAACCAATTCCCATGAAGTGCCTGGCAGTATTTTAAGAGCTGGGAGTCTATGAAGAAGACAAACAAACCCCTTGTTCTCAAGAAAATTATATACTAAAACCGAGAGTGAGGTGAGACAGATAAACAGGCAAATGAACAAGAAACCTTCAGTTAGTGATTTCTACGGCAAAGAAAATAAAGCAGGTTTACGAGCAAGAAGCTGAAATAATTTTCATCAAATCACCAGGTCTAGCATGAGACAATAACAGCTAATCTGAAATGACAAAAAGGATTCAACCGTGCAGAGATCCTACAATGGAATCTGGAGTTTTATCAGAGTTAACAGGCACCCTAAGAATGATATACTGGGGGGCAGGGTACCTGAGCCAATCTATATTAAGATTATCACCAGGTCTGGCAGGTGCTGTGGTGGTTAAGAGCGCTGGACTCCCACATGGCCGACCACAGTTTGAGTCCTGGTGGCTCCCCTCCCCACCCCCACCCGCTGCTGCCCCCCCATCCCCTGTCAAATAAGATAAACAAATAAAGTTAAAAAAGAATTCTTTAAGGACAAAACAGGATTATCGCCATCACTGCTGGATAAGAGTGTTCAGCTACTGCAATGGTCCAGACCAGAGATGACAGTGGCTTGACCTAGGATGGCAGTAGTTGACAACTGGGAGAAATGAAGTTTCTCCTGTTACACCGTGGAGGCAGAGCCAGTGTTTTGGATACAGGGGACGGAGAGAAGCAGCCTTTGTGGCTTAAATGACCTGGTGGACAACAATGCCACTTAGTAGACTGGGAAGCCTGGGGGAGGAGCAGGTGTAGGTGAAGGAGAACCCAGAGTTGTTCTGGCCCAGTATGAAAAGCCTACGACACAATCAAGCAGAGACATCAAGTAGAAAGTGAGGAGGGGGCTGCCTGGTGCTGGGTGAAAGAGGGAATAGCGAGTTAGTGCCTGATGGGTACAGAGTTTCTACTTTTTTAAGAATTTTTATTTTTTAATTTGACCAGAGAGAGAGAAAGGGGAACTGGCAGGCTGCCAGGTCCAGGATTTGAACCATGGTCAGCCATGTGGGAATCCGGCACCTTTAAACACCACGCCACCTGCTGGTCCCTAGAGTTTCTGTGTTCAAAGGATAAAGAGTTGGGAAGATGATAACTGCACCTTATGGACGTATTTACTACCACGGAGCTGAACACTTAAAAATGGATAAGGTGCCAGGGCAGCCAGGTCGTGGGGTGGGTAAGAAGGTGGATCCCATATGGCTGACTGTGACGTTCAAGTCCTCGATCCAGCAGCTTGAAATCTACACCGGCCTGTGTGCATCCACATGTCCGAAATCCTGAGAGGAGAATGGAGTACGAGAGATTGTGTAGCCTTGGTGGGGAGGGAGGTGAGTTCCCTCTTTCTCTCTCTCTCTCTGGCAAATGCATGTGCCCTATACCATAAACTCAAAAAAAAGAAAATGGGTAAGGTGGTAAATTTTATGTCTTAAGTATTTTACCACAAAAAGAAAGAGATGTCAAATACGCATAAGGAAAAAGCTGAAAGAATCTTTGGCTTTCTGGACAGGTGTAAGCTGGAATCATGAACTGGGATAACAGCCTACAGACGGGATTTAAAGTCTGCTCCCCCCGCCCCCACCCCACGCACACACACCCCGACCCAGATCACCTGGGTGAGGCAGAGAGCCCAGCAAAACGCTGAGACCTGGAGCACCAGGACACCAGAGGTCCACCGGACAGGGGACTACATGTGACTGAGGTGGCAGAAGTCAGAGAAGCCACAGAGTTCACAAGATTGCCCACACAACCAGGGTAATAAAAGCAGCTTCTGGGTGGCAGGTGGCCTGGTGGTTAAGGACGTTAGACTCCCGCATAGCCGACTGTAGTTCGAGTCCCAGACCTGGAGGCTTGCTTGCTTGCTTTCTCTTACTCTCTTCTCTCTGTCCCTCTCTGGTCAAATTAAATCGTTCTTTTATAAATAAATTAAGTAGCTTCTAGGGGCTAGCAAGCTGGTTAAGGCACTGAACTCCCATGTAGCTGACTACAGTTCGAGTTCTGGACCCAGAGGATTGAAACTCATTCCAGGCATATGTGCGTGCGTGCCCAAGATCCCAAGAGGAGAATGGAGAAGGGACTGCTGCATGGCCATCCTTACTGCAAGGGGGTGATTTCTGTCTCTTGGGTGAGTGCACCCACCCTATGGCAAAAATCACTCAAAAAAGGAAGAAAAAAAAAACAAAAACAAAAACTTCCAATGCTCAGTCCTTCTGCCTGAAGTGGAATAAATTCCCTGCCTTCCTGCCCATCCACTAAGCAGGAAAGCCACACGGCTTTACCTATGTCCCATTCCTTTATTGATCTTATTTATTAACTTGACCTTTGAGCATAAAAAGAGGCGCTTTCAGTAACTACATCAGGACAGCTGTAACAGCTTAACATGGCAGGGCTGTCCCTGGAACACCCTCGCACACGTGCACCGTTTACAAAAACCCAAGCTCTCCGGCTGAACTTCTGAACAATCTTGTGTGTTATTTCTCGACAAACTCACAGCCATTTCTCTCGGAAATTCTCACGAGGAAGAAAACGAAAAAGTGAGGGAAGGGGAAAAAAAAGAAAATTCCACCCACCAAATTATGGACAGGAAGGGAGCAGCGCGTGGGTTCGAGTCCCCCAGGTGGATTACAGAGCTCACCAGATTAAACACTGGCGCCTTGGCCGCTTCCTGACCGGGCATCTCCAACTCTGCGATCTTCCTTGCTCCTCCCCACGACCCATCACAGGTGTATGCCACCTATCCCGGGACTGCAGTGAGGATGCAGGGAGGGTGCACCCCGACCTCAGCACGAGGCCTGGCAGGTGGAAAGCACGCGGGCGTTAATAAACCCAGCTGAAGGACCCAGAGCACCAGTTCGAATCCCAGCTCCAGCCAGGGCCTAGCAACGCCTCCCCGCCCCCGGGACCATCAGTCTGGACAGGTTCCTTGGCCGGTCCTGAGACCTCCTCTCCCGACTCTCGGATACATAAACGGCTGGGCGACAGGGAGCTAAACGCGGGGAGGGATGCAGGGCGGGCGCCACTGACCTGCTTGAAGGTGCTGCTGAGGAAGTAGACGAGCGAGAGCCCGAAGACCAGGGCGAGCACCCACCTCTTCCGCAGAAGCCGGCGCCACACCATGGCCGCCAGGTTCACCATCCCGGCGCGGAGCAGGGCAGGCCCGGGGCCCGGGCGGCATGGCCCCTACGCTCCCGGCAGGTCCCTCGGCACGGCCGGGGGCGG